AACAAGGCATCTCTTCAGCCCCCGCGTTAAACCTATTCCGTGTGAGTGTTGGTAGGAAGTGGGGATGCAGTGGATGTTAACCAAAAGCCGGTCAGGGACGGTGTGGTGGGTCGATGTTGTTGGATGACAGGGCGTGTATACATCGGGGAGCCTGTGTGAAATATAACAGGGGGTTACGTATTGTAACCCTAGTTATATAAGCACAGGCGGAGCCCTCTACCTGGGGGCCCTGTCTTTCCAAGTCCGCTCTCTGAAGAGTGTATAGGATAGTGGGCGGCGGGTGTAGCCGCCTTTATATACTGTGGGCCTGCGCGCGCATTCAGGTAGGCTCGCCCCGATTGGCCGGCTACGTTTACGTAAACTCAGTAGGTGAAAGCACGCACAGCATGATAGAGAGTAGTACCCATAGAGTCCAGTAGAGGGCTCAGCCTGTGCTTATATAACTAGGGTTACAATACGTAACCCCCTGTTTCAGGAATATTTAATCATCATTTAACCTTGTGGCAGACCCTGCCAACATACATGTCTAATAAAACACTCTGGACATTGAGTTTTTGGTGACCAAATTGCTCTTCTGTCTTAACATCCAAAAACTCATTAATTAATTCCTAGAGATGTGCCAGTATCTCGACAAATGGTGTAATATCAGCATTTTCCAATATCTTTAATTAGAATTGAGTCTTTTTTGTCTTATTCCCCTTTTGCAAACTGCATTCTTTACATGTAAACAGCAGACATCAGTATTTGCTATGATGTTCGGCTTTGGGCTGCGTCTCTCTTCTGCAGTGTTTAGTTATTTGGCTTTATCTGATTTATTTGTTATGAAAGTTGGTGGGTACTGAAGGCCTTGGGTCGTGAAACAAATGTTCAAACTTTGGTAGTATGAAAAAGATAAAGATGTATAAAATAAGATTTGAAGAATCTTGAAGTTCATATACAGTACCAACATATTTGATACAGTGATATTCAGATATGGATTTTGTGTGCAGGACATGCTACTTGATAGGTTGATATTTAAGTGCAACAACTTAAAATATGACATACTTAAAATGTTACGGATCCCATTAATCCAGTTCTTAATGTAAACTGTAGAAACACCAGTGGCATGGAGAGAGCAAAAAGCAGCTTAAGTTGGCAGATTTAACTTTAACACACGCAGTCCTAATGTATAACTTCACATCTGAGAAGCAGAGAATTTTTGTGTTTATGATTAAAAAATTACTCTATTTTGTGTTTACAATTTCCAAACCTAAAGCAGTCCACTTCAACATAACTGCAAACTGCAACCTAAATAATAAACATATACTGTATTAAATAAATTATTCTTTGACAGTGTTAATTACAACTGACATTATCAATATCATTTTTCATTCAATTGTGCCTTTTTTGCACAAGTTAGCCAAGATTATATATTTCCTAAGTGCAGAGTTATAATGACATTGAAAACAAAAATAAAGAGATACACTTACTGTTAAGTTGTTTCTATTAAGAAAATAGCAAAAACCATAAATAATTTGCTCTGAAAAACGAGAAATGTGTTGAAGCTTTGTGAAGGTAGAGTTTATGGCTGAGCTGTTGTTTTGCATCATATTCTACAGATCTACCTGGGGAAGTGAGTTTCCG